CGCCTTGAATAAAAAATTTTATTTTCTTTTATCACTTTAACAGAAATTAACTAACAAGAGTATTCTGTGCTGGTATAAAAGCAAAACAACAAAAAAATACAGTCAACCTTAAAAAATGGCATTAACTCGCTGTGATGAGTTTGCTAATAAATAAAGGCTCAAATAATTTAAGCTGTTTCTTAAATTTGACTTAAATGCGCAATGTTGTGTTTTAAAAACTTCTGTATGTATTTGTATGAAATATTTGCAACTAATGTACATGCATAAAATATATTTATCAATAAAAATATTACAAATTAAAAATTTTACTTTATAACTTAAAAAGAAATATGTGTGAAAAATATTGAACAGAAAAATAGTTTAGCTTTGACTTTTCCGCTCCAAAACATAAAAAATGTTTAACAAAAATAAATATGAATGTACATAATAGCGGTAGCTAAGGAAAGGGGTGCGCGTAAAAAAAAGAATTTGAAATTATTCCGTTGTGCGAAAAGAAAACTAATTTTAAACAATGTGTTGGAAAAATTAAGTAGATATAATAGTAAGTATTTTGAAATACAAGTGTTGAGAAGAAAATGCAGCGATTTTTAACTAACAGATTGGACTACCGCTACTATTTGAGAAAATATTGAAACCAGTAAATGATTTTCAAAAATAAATTTTCTTTTAATTTTTAAAGAAGTCTAACACATTTTTAGTTAATTAATTTGGAATCGATTGATAAGAGTTTTTTGATTAAATTTTTTTCAAAAATTTTTCAAACGCTTGCATAATAAATATAAAATAAAGTAAGTCAGAAAAATGTAAACCAAATACTTGCATATGTACTTATATGTATGTATGTGCAGGATATTAGATATGTATATAATTAAGGCCAATGCGATTGACTCAAAAGAAAAGCTATTTTTCTAACAAATAAAAGTTATTATAATTCAAAATATATACATTAACAAATAAACAGTAAAATAAAATCAGCTTTATAAGAAATTAAAAAAGTGAATTAA